TTTACATCAAAATTCATTTTATTCATTTCTAGAATCCATTTTCTATTCTTTTTTTTTCTTTTTTCTTTTTTTTTGTACATTCGAAAATACTCAAACGCATATTCTTTCTCAAACGTATTTTCTTCTTTCRAAATTTTCGAAATACATAGGGTTAAGCATTCTCTCTCGACATTTCATCTTCGAAATTCGAAAATCAGTTTCTTTTTTCGATTTTTTTCAAAAATTTCAGAACTAATTAAATTCTTTTTCGACATTTCTTTTTCATAATTCGAAAACATTCCTTATTCTTTTTCGGAATTTTTGTAATTTGGAAAACATTTTAGAATTAATCAAACTCTTCCTTTTCGTAACTCTAAATACGTTAGAATTATTTTTTTTTTTCTTTCGACATTTCTTTGAAATTCGAAACTACTTTCAATTCATTCATTTTTCTCTTCGAAAATTTTGAAAATATTTTAGACCTAATTTAATTCTTTTTCGAAATTTCTTTTTCAACATTTCTACTTAATTTTAATTTTTAATTTTATTTTTTTTTCGAAATTTTTAAAAATACGTTAGAATTAATTAAATTCTTTTTTTCAAATATAATTCTAATTAATTCTTTTTCCCAGTATTTTAATTCACAATTTATTTTCGCAATTTTTGTTGAAAGTCGAAACTCTTTTTACAATTCGGAACTACCTTTCTTTTAAAAATGTTATTCTAAACCCCTCAATTAATTTCGACTAAATTCAATTAATTCACGACTGAATTAATCTCTTTATTCGAAATTAATTATCCTTTTTCTGAAATGTCGCCTTTTTTCTTGAAAAATTCTTGCCAAATATTTTAAAATTTTCCTCTTCCTAATTCTTTTCAGAATTTATTCATTTTTCCCCCGTAATTCGAAAATATTTTCCTTCGAAATTCCACGTTTTCTTGTAAATAAATTTAAATCTACATCATAATTTATTTTTTCGAAATTAATTAACTCTTTCTGTTCAACGTTTATTTTTGAAAAAAAACTTGGGGATTATCTTTATTTTTGAATTTATTAATAAATAAATAAGGGATTCCCCCCCCACTCTCCACATGCCACCACGCCAAACCAAGAACTCCCAACGCGCCGCTGCTGCCGCCGCCACCGCTGCTGCTGCATCCTCCACACCCGCTCAGGCCACATCCTCCACCCCCTCTTCCCCCGACATGGCCGCATCCTCCATCAACATGTCCGACATCCGCACCGACTCAGTTGATAGCATCGCCCGCAACCTCGCAGGCGAACAACCACCAGCAAACACTGCCACCCTCGACCTCTCCGCCATCCTCCACGCACTCAACACCCTCCTAACCTCCGTCACCGCCTCTCTCAACGACATAAAGGCCAACATGTCGTCCATATGCGACCGCGTCACCACGCTCGAAGGGACCACCCCCTCCATCACGGTCGTCACCACCGCGCAAACCACTCCAACCCCCACAATGCAAACTACTCCAACCTCCACAGTGCAAACCACTCCAACCCCCACAGTGCAAACTACTACAACCTCCACAGTGCAAACCACTCCAACCCCCACAGCGCAAACCACTCCCCCCTCCACAGCCGCCTCTAGCAACACCCCCCCGCCGACCTCCTCCACTCCTACCACCTCTACTGCCATATCCACCAACCCTTGAATCCCCACCATCGTTCCGTTCCCTCCACCTCCTCCCTCATCCGGCGCATCCAGCACACCGCCTCATTCCTCGCCCATCAAAGTCACCCCTCTTCCCCCCCTGCACTCCCAAACCCATTCCCAACCCATCATGACCACCTCCACCATCCCCACCATCCGTCCCACCTATTCCCAAGTCACCTCTGGGGCCTTCCCCTCAATGCCACAACTTCCCCCCAACTACCTCCTTGAGGACAACAACCA